TGTTTGGCAGCCCATTCCTCCCTCAAATTCTCTAATTTCCTGCCAGCAGGTACCCGTAACACTATTTCATTCAGTCTGGTTCAGCCCCTCTCCGTCCTAACTCTACATACTCCCTCCTTACGGCGCCCTTGAACCGTCACTGCGGCTATAATATAACCGACAGCTCGTGGTCCGGCTGCTCGAACCGGCGCGGCGGAGGAAAGTCAACTTACGTTTCAGTTCAGTGCGATTGCGAGGATACACCGCCCGCCAGCCCCGCACCTCCTAAACGGTCCTGCTGACGGAGCGCACAAGCGAGCGCAGCAGAGTGCGCTGCTCGGCAGACAGGTGGCGCCACAGGTCGGCCTCGAGGGTGCGGAGGGCGGGCATGTCCTGGGACTGGATGGCCATCACCAGCGACTGCAGCAGCAGGAACAGCTCCTCGCTCACCAGCTCATCTGCGGGCGGACACACACGGGTTGAAGTATTACAGGCAGAGGAGACCGCGCGAGCGAAAACGACAACAAGGGACCAAGGGACCGACACTCACCCGCGCCCTCGCCGTGCTCGCCCCACGTGTACCTCTCCAGCAGCTGAGCCAGCCGCGCGGGTAGTCTGGAGGGCGTCGGCTGCAGCAGGAGGAGCAGCAGCACCTGGCTCACCTCGCACCTGGGGGAGACAAAGCAGGTTGTAGGTGAGGAACGCCACCCGCGTCGGGCACTGCTCGTGGGCTGCTTGGGGGGCTTACTTGTGCAGTAGATCGCGGTAGCAGCCAACCGCTGGGCTGGGAGCGCCCTGGGCGATGGACACCACCTCCTCGAACACGGCCAGGGCGCCGTCGTAGTCGCCTAGGGAGAAAGAGAAAGTCAACCCTGGTGGCGGCGGCGGCGCCCGGGGTGCGCGCCTGCCAGGCCCGGGGTAGGCAACCGCAACACACGGGTGCGTGGCGCTACGGAAGTTGCCCGTCTGCCGGGCTGTTGACTCACCTTCGCTCACCCTGCCGCTGGCGATGTTCTCCAGGGAGTGCATGTAGGCCATGGGGCTCGAGCGCAGCAGCTCCGCCGCCCTGAAGTAGTGCAGCTGCGCCGCCTCGGGCCTGTCCAGCTCCCGCCGGAGGACGTCGGCCACCTGGAGCGCCATCCCGGCCGCGGCCGGCATCCCCAGCGGGCCCTGGAACTGGGAGCGCTGGCCCGCCCGCGTGTAGCAGCACAGCGCAGCCTGCGACAGGGCACACAGAGCTGTTGTAGAGTATGCAGGGCCACACTGTCTCCGACGGTGACAAGCCCGCGCAAGCCCCCAACCCAAACCATCACGAAAAGCTTGCGCTTGCACGAAACAACAGCTGATTTCTTTAAAAATTGAAGCTTGCATTTGCCCTTCTGTGACCACTTTTGGTTAAAAGATTACCTGAAGATTTTCACCACCAACATGATGGCATCCTATGCTTGCTCCTTTGCGTTCTGCTTGTAAGAAGGATTTCCCACCACGGACCAAGGCAGATATTTCTCCGTTTGTGTGGCCCAATTCGTTCTCACATCGCGCCACAGCTTGCCAGCACAGACCCGCATATGGAAGCATTTGCTGAGCCTCACATTGCATGGCAAGAGAACCTGTGCAGATATAATGAAAAGGTGAAGTATCAGATCATTAGTTAAAGTGGTAAGATCACATGAACCAAACACTAGGAAGTCTGCAATGTATTTTATCTGTTGTACGAACCATACTGCTCACTAGCTTCTTGTACGTTGGGTTTCCTTAAAAATCGTCTGCGCAAAATGAAGAATAGTATTATAAATAATTCCTATAACTTAGTCAGTTTGAGTTTTGACTTGCTCATAAATCATATCATTCATGAACAGGAGGAACCAGAGAACACAATTAGGTTATGCTAAAAGATAGTGTAGCATGCACACTTACTTTTTTAGCTTATTGGATATAGCTTTATACTGCGTAAGTATATCATTGGAAGGATAATCCGCCATAGTTATTAAAGCTGAAGCATTTCCATAGACAGTTTGGATCTTGAAGAATAAAAACGTTAAAGTACAACCACAGAAAGTACTAGGTTGGAACAGCAGAGCAGAACTGACTGACAAGTGACAACTGTTGCTAAACTTTTCATACTCCGACCCTGACCCACAAATGTAAACAAACATGCATGGTTCATTCAAGTTGTTTCGTCGTTTGTGTTTTCATTGATTGTCTCGAACGTATAGATTTAATTGTTATGGCAAAGAAACTTTCGTTCCTAGATCTGCCCACGCCTTGCGAAGTTCTCTTTGCGTGACTATTTTTCTATTTTGGAAACCTGATCTGGACCACAAAGAAATGGACGCTTTCAATGCGTTGTGGTAAGGTTATACTGTTTACATTACCTACCTAATTCCTTTTTATATAGTATCTTTGCAGTTTTTCTCTCTGATTGTATTTATATTTTTGATTTTCATTGAAGTATGGATCTGTACAATCGACTGCCATTTATGCTTTTTAGGGATAATCCACAACAGAGAAAACGTCCACCTGACGATGATTTTCAACTTTTTACTATGGAAGAATGGTTTGCCAAGTCTTCAACCCACAAGATTCTTAATGGTTCATTTCGCTGCCCCCTTCCACCAGAATTGGAGCCACAAGTCAAAGGTTTTGAACGAAAGAATAACAAAAATAATGAGAATACTGGAAATACATCAGGGTGTGTGGCCCAAAAGAGTAACAGTAAGCAAAATCACCCAAACCAAAGAAACCAAAATGCCAAAGCTGAAGATTCTAAGGTACTAAACCACAGGAATTAAATATTT